CTCGACAGAGAAAAACACCTTCATAGAACCACTTTCTGATAGATAGGTGTATTCATAGCTTTTGGTGATGGGATCCTTGCCAATTTATACTTGTCAGGGGAGAACACAAAGTACTAGTACATGATCCAGACTACAAGTTGTCAGGCTTACATTTTTGTGGAAGCTGCTGTGGCTGAATGGGTTACATCTCTGAGTTTGTGTACTGGCAATTAGGTGCTGCACAGAGTGGGTGTTCGAATCCCAGATGGGAAATACTGGAATCTGTACTAAACTGAGAAAGTGTAATCCTAATTATAACCCGTTATGTTTCATCTTGGCAGAGAAAGCCATCCCTTTTCCAACACTCATTCACATAATAGCGGGGAATGAACAATTATTGATGGTAATTCTTTTCCCTTGTTCTATGCCGAAATGACCCTTTGAAATAGTTTGTGGCTTATGGCAAGTTTGTTATATCTTCTATGCTGAAGGTGTGTGTACCAGCTGCCATCTGTTTTACTCTAATACAGGAATAGGGAGTCTTGTGCCTACAGCATTAACTCATGGGTACAGTGTGTGCAACTCATTTCTGGTGTCCTCTGTCGAGATATTGCTGGAGTATTTTCCTCAAAGGGGTGAACAACCTCACTCACTTATTCTCACTCACTCACTCAAATATGCTGTGTTTCAGTTCAAGGTATGGGTGAAGCCAAGTGCTGAGCAGCAGTTTTTGTATGGCCACCATGTGATGAAGTCTGGACTTGGGAGGATAACAGAGAACACATCACAGTACCAGGGCTTGGTCGTGTACAGCATGAGTGATCTCCCTTGGTAAGACCCAGATTTATATGACATTCTAGTTGCTGAAAACACAAGGTTCTTTGGCTGATTGACAACAGGTGATCAGGGCCATTTCATTTTGTCAGGTTTGCAATTAGCACAGCTAATTTGCAACCAGGTAACACTGTTGTCTGGCTCTGTGGCTGATTGTAGGTGAATACATGACTGTTGCTGATGTTCTCTCAAGCTCTGTGACTGAGTTTATTGCATGTCATTAGTGGTTGTGAATATTTGATAATAGCAGTATTGAATAATATTGCCCTGCCGTATTCATTAATAGGCCACTGAATGCAGTTGTAAACAACAAGCAAAGATATATACAGTGGAAACCGCCTAAGTAAAGACCGCCTAACTAAACAGACGTGATAAGTAAACACTTTTCTTTGGTCCCTGCAAATTTCTTCATTAATTATCACTATTAAAGTCCGGTTAACTAAACTCGGATAAGTAAACAATACCGCTTAACTAAACGTCTTCTCACGGTCCCTGGAAGTATATTACTTAACAAAAGAGACTGGATAACTAAATTAGCGATCACCACATAATCCGACGTGAGGGGCTGTCGTGTCAGTCTCCAGTCAAACAAACATCCTACTTACAGCTCGCTGGCGTCAAGCAGTTGACAACACTGACAAACTGGAGGCCAGCCCTGATAAGTTGTTCATTGTTACATATGCATACATATACATGCATATGGTTGTCATTTGCAGGTTTTTATAAGTTTGGATAAGTAAAATACCTGATAAGTAAACAATTTTGGCAAGTCCCTTGAAATTTTACTTATCACTAATATCAGGTTTCCACTGTATTGTCATAAGCCACTCGAAGAATACAACTGGCAAAGACTTAGGGGGTGGTGGGGTAGCCGTGTGGTTAAAGTGTTTGTCGTGCCAAAGACCCGGGTTCGATTCCCCACATGGGTACAATGTGTGAAGCCCATTTCTGGTGTCCCCTGTCATGGTATTGCTGGAATATTGCTGAAAGTTGAGTAAGACTAAAACTAACTCACTCACTCACTTAGACTAAGGGATTTTTACCACTTTTGTTCTGTTGCAGGGGTTTGGTGTTGCAGCAAAGTCAACACAGGACTGCCGTCACTGTGATCCAATGACCCTTGTGGCCTTCCACCAAGCAGATGTGGGGGAGTACATACGAAATGAAGAAGCATTATTGTAGTCCTTGTCAGATTTCATTACATTGTAAATAAACACCAAAACTGTACATACTGAAGGCTTTTGTTTCTTGTTATTTGTCATTTTGTGATTTGTAATAAGAAAATGTTTTAAACCTTTAGAAATCACTGTTTTCTCAGATGTTGCTTGAGACAAGCTCAAAATATTTTGGGTGAAACTGTCTGTTGATTTTCTTTGCAATAATTTGTCCTGCTTGACTTATTTTGGCTAAAGTATACACGTCATCCTCGATAATCTCCAGGGTATACGTTTCGATCACTCTCCACTATACCCTGGATGGATCCACGGCTTGGCCCGATAACTTTATTACCTCCCTTTGCTGGCTTTTTATCCAATCAGGTGTCTATGCTGGGAAGTTGAGCGAACCAATCACAACTCACTTTCGCTTCTTAAATTATCTAACCATTTAAACTTGGCAACACAATTGATGCACAGGTACTCTGAAAGAGGTAGAAGGAGTTCTTTCATATATTATTTTAAAGTTTCTGATCTGTCAATTTGTCTGTATTATATCCCCCAAAATCTGAGTCACGACTGCGACCGCTATCTTTGTTGACACTGGCAAGCTCGGATGTAATGGTGGCTTCGCTGATTGGCTACTGTGAGAATGTGGAGCCAGCAAATGGAGGTAATATAATTATCGGGCATAGCCGTGGATGCATCCAGGGTATAGTGGAGAGTGATCATAACGTATACCCTGGAGATTATCGAGGATGCACACACGTTTGCCTCGCATTAACTGGTGATATTTGGATCATTAATTTCCTGTGCAGGTATTTGGGGTAAAACCACACCAACTTGGATGTCTAAATTCTCAACAGACTGCAGATGAAACTAAAAGTAAAACTAGTGGAAGGGCAAAGTTTAGGGATCATTCTGATAATCTGGAGCTTTTATCAATCATTGCCCCATCAGATCGCTTCTATATCAAAATTTTTATAAATATTTATTTGTATTTAATACAAGTCTATGTCACAGTTTCCATTTGCTCACAAAACTGTTTCTTTTGAAATTGATTGATGTTATGCAACTTGTGACATGTTCCTTTGTTAATGAGGTGCCTCAAAGCTAGTGGGACACTTTCCTTTGCTGGTCCTATAGGGGAATGTTGTTTGATTGGGTTGGTTTAGTGATGGGATACATTATCTGAAAAATAGCTTTTCAAATAATAACATTTCAGGGCATTATCACATGCAAAAGCCTAAGATCTGTTCATGTGTCCTCACTGTTGGCAGATATCAGGATTTTGCAAGCAATATTGCCCCAACAGGTAACTGGTACGTCATAGCATATCAAGATCCCACTGATGTTCAGAATGACAATGAGAATTAGTCTTCAGCAACCTGTGCTTGTTATTAAGAGGCAACTCACTGATTTCTTGAAACCCTGAGTATGACAATTTGAAACAGCTGAATGTTTAACTCAACACTGCATTTTTAAATTGAAAAAGCCTAAACAAATCTATCCATCAAACTCAAATTGTCTTCTGTGTTTGAGTTTAATATCAGTTTATTCTTGGAAATACATTTTCCTGCATTTTCTTTAATTTGAGTGAAAACTCAGACTTAAGTTTGTTTCAAGAAATTGGGGCCTGGTCAGGTTATTGTGGTAGATAAATGTAGTTATATCCCAGTTGTGTAGATCTATGTTAATGTAAATCACTGGTCATTCCCGTGAAGATCAGGGTTGGAATTGATCTTCAGTAACCCATGCTTGTTGTAAGAGGCAACTAATGGGATCGGGTGGTCAGGCTCGCTGACTTGGTTGACACATGTCATCGTATCCCAACTGTGTAGATTGATGCTCATGCTGTTGAACAGTGGATTGTCTGGTCCAGACTCTATTATTTACAGACTGATGCCATATAGCTGGAATATTGCTGAGCGCTACGTAAAACAACAATCAATCAATCAGTTATTTACATAGAATACAGAAAACATACCAGTTAGAGCCAATGTTAAACCATATCATGCATTATATAACATTCAGGGCGATGGGTTAGCCTAGTGGTTAAAGTGTCCGCTCATCATGCTGAAGACCCGGGCTCGATTCCCACCATGGGTACAATATGTGAAGCCCATTTCTGGTGACCCCTGCCATGATATTGCTGGAATATTGCTAAAAGCGGCATAAAACCACTCATCGACTCACTCACTCTGTACAAACCAAAGAAGCAGCTTGGTACAAACACTAATCAATTACGAGAGTTGATTTCAAGAGGTAGCTGCATATTAACCTTTACTGAAAGACTTATCTGCCTTAAGGGGAGAATGCAGTCAGGAATATTATTAAATTAGGCCTAACATGCACTAAAGCCAGTGCTGCAGGTAAATACATAGCAGCTTTACTAATGAATTAACCAGGGAAGTACTCCTTGTGCTTTAAGGTCAGCTTATGCTGTTGGGGTGTTGAGAATGATTGAGGCCTCTTTCACCATCAGTACACAGCCTCAATCCTTGATTTCTTTCCTTGTCCCAGTCTGGGGAGTCCTAGTACGGCTATAAGAAATGCTTTCACTGTTGAAATAATCACATAAACCTGTTTTTAAAGTATGTATTTACTAAACAGAGGTATACATATGAAGATCTTTTCTGAAACATGGAACCAGTAGTAAAATGTGTTGATATGTATAAGACTCTGAGATGTGGCACTGTGCATTGTCCATTGGAATAAATCAACAAAAACACATCCCTTGAGAATTTTGGGTAGGCCTCCATCATTCAACAGTTCTTGAAAACACCATCTAAGGCCAGACCAATTTTATTTCTTGTTTTGCGGATCCGTCGGTCGGATTTTTTCAAGAATAAGAAAAAACTAAATATTAATTTTGCTCAAAAAAATAAATTTTAATATTTCTATTGGCCAAAAATGTAAATGTGCAAGAAAATGTTTTTAGATTGTTTTTTCCCCCATATACATTTCATAAATTGTCAAATGTAAAATATTTTTGGTATTTAAAAAGACTATTACTTTGACTGGTGATTTTTATCCTCCAGCCTTTAGGATTTCTGAGGACAAAAAATCCGTAAACCACGAAATAAATTTGGTCTGGCCTAATGAGGATTTGGTGAGTTAGTGGATGATTGAGCATACAATCGGCCACTTGTTTGCGCAACCACAATTAAGGCAAACATGGTGAAGCTGCCATATATAGACCATTGGCCTAGTAACTTAAGAAAAACAGTTTAAGACTTAGAATTAGGTTATAAACAAACCTAAGTCTTCAACACTGATCACCAAGACGTGTTGGTTTTGTTTTCACAAGTTATATCTTGCACTCCGTGACCGTCGCGTTCTCCGGGTTGATCCGGGAACTGATACCAACATCCTTCAGACGCTTCTTGGATATTTTCTCCTCTTCCTCCTCAGCCACCCCAAACAGCTTGTAGACGATGCAGATGAACTTGCTAGGACCGACCTTCACCCTCTGCACTATGGTGTCTGCATCTACAAAGGTCCTGTGCTCGTAGTACTGGAACAGATCTGAACTTGCTAAAGACGAATTCAGTGACAAAGAATTATCGATCTGGTGGGGTAGCCTAGAGGTTAAAATGTTCACTTGTCAAGCTGAAGACACGGGTTCAAATTCTGACAAGGGTACAATGTGTGAAGCCCATTTCTGGTGTCCCTTGCCGTGATATTGCTGGAATAATGCTAAAAGCAGCATAAAACTAAACTCACTCACTTTAACACAAAACCATGAATATTTGTAATAAAATGACTTGACTGAAATATACAAAGTATAATTCTTAATACACTCTGGATACTTTTGTAATTATATTGATTTGCTGGATAATATGAACATTTATGCAACTGTTGGATTATGTTTGAAATTGTTTCATTTCAATATCAAATACTAAGTATATCATTTGCAGACATTCGCTCTTATTACATGTTCTATCAAAGCAAACTAACAGGGACTTATTCAGACAGTGCAGACACTACTTGGCCTAAGATATTGTTCTGAATCTGTTTTACAATAACTTATTGCAGTAACATCTGCTTCAATGTGGTATTCTTAAGGATTTCTCCTGGAAACTTTTCTCTATAAATTTTATTTCTTCAGAATTTTCCAGGGGTGTCACAAAAAGGAAGCTACCTAAATAGTTCATATGAAATGAATAGTTGTTCAGGAGTGAGTGAGTGAGTGAGTAGGGTTCAGTGCCCATTTAGCAATATTCCTGCAATATCATGGCAAGGGACACCAGAAATGGGCTTCACACAATGTACCCACATGAGGAATCAAACTCGTGATGACGAGCAAACACTTTACCCAATTGGCTATCCCACTGCCCAGTCAAGGAGGAAATGAGATCCAATTTTTATTGCACAAAATTAAGGGAATTGTTTTCCTCAAGTTCTTGTCAACTACGTTACTGTGACCCTCTATAAGTTTTGCCCCCAAATATGGCGGCCATTTTATGACATAATTATGGCACATCACTGTACTTTGGTATTTTTTTTACTGACAGCACAGATGAACTAGTCTTGCAAACCTGTGTATGTCACTATATACTTGTGTCAAGAGTTAATTTACACCCATAACTTCCCCTTGGTATCAATATGCATCATCTGTGTTTTGATACATTATAAAAATGGAACATGTGAACTGCTTATGTGTATGGTGTAAGCATGGCTACCTCCTTTGCCGGTTCCTCCAAACTGAACTCTCGCAGGAGCTCGCCTGTCAGGTTGTCATAGTAACCAATATGTCCAACAGGACCCTCGGGATTGTGGGAAACAGCACTGACAACAAGGACATCCAGTTCATTTTCATAGTCAACATCATGAATTGTCTGTAGAAACAAGAGACATTACACATTACATTATGCAAAATACATTTGGCACCCAAAGCCCTGAGATAGTCTGATGGGTCCACAAGGGTAATCAACTGTTCTGTTTGAGCAAAATTCACTGATAGACTACATACCACATACTGCCCCTCACAGACACTTTAGTTTTTTAGACAGAACCAATCAATACTGATAACACCTGTGATCATGTGACAAGTCATTACTCGGGGTCAGGATTTGACCAAACTTCACTGGGTCATTTTCATCAATAAGAGATTATCATTACAATGATATGTTTAGTCACATGTGGATCAACCAATGAAATTTAATGATTCTTAACTCAGGTATAACCAAATTATAATAGCTCTAAATTTGATTTAAAACTGAACGTGTAGCGTGAGGTTTTAAATAACATTTATTAGAGCTATTATAATTTCGTTATATACCTCTGATTTTCCAACACACTCTGTTTATCTCCCTTCTACTATAACTGCATTATTAAGACTTAAAAAATATATATAAAAAGAATGAAAAAACTCACAGCTACCTTTGAATGACTTTGATTAGCCAATCACAATCCTGTATTTACTGAAGTCATGGTAGAATTGGGGTTATATACCTCTGATTTTCCAACACAGTATGTTTATCTCCTAAATATTCATGATATTATGAAAACAGCATTGTTGCAGAATATTTGAGTGACAGATCAGCACCAGTTATGGAATCAAAAGAAAATTAAATACCAAATCTAAGCGAAATCAAGAAAAATAGGAGTATATAAGGCTCACATAAATCTTAATGTTTAGAAAAAAATGGATAGTAAATTACAGCAACATCAATAATTTCTAATTTGAATAACTCCAGATTCAAACAGAAACAACATGATAATTGCAAACTTTCCCAAACTCAAGTTATCAATGTTTCAAAGTTGCTAATATTCCCTTTTGAAAATAGAGCTGGTATCTCCTGAATGAAAGGTCTAACACAAGTGTCCAACTCACCAAGGGAGAGCACTCTAACACTTCATCTAGACAGACCCTCTTTTTAATACTTCGACCTGATGAGGTCACAGTTCTTTGAGTATTTTCCTTCTGCAAAGAGTAAATGACACAGCATGGAAAAATAAATTAGTGTCTGACAAAAATATAGCAATAAAGTATTCATGACATCAGTAATTCACAAGTTGGTATTTATAATAAACACGACATTAAACCCCATTTCACCCAGTGAAAGTCTCCATTGTACACAGAAAAAAAATGCTTTACTGAGAAAGTATATATCCCAAATATAACATATGTTATATTTGTCCACTTTCTAAATGATATTGTGTATTCATAAATGGAATTGTGTATTCATTGAACACAAACGTTTTACAGTTTGACACTGACTGACATGAACTGCAAATGATGTCTGTGTCTGAATTTAAATAACAATCAAGTATTGATAACAACACACTACTCAACTTTTGTCAAGAAAAGATCATCATACTTTTTACATGAGCATAATCAGGTGTGTCATGGAATAATAGGGACATCCCTATCAAAGGTTGAGTTGTATAGCATGGTTGACATGTTCTCCTGGACGTCACAGTGACGTGATCTGTACTGTATGTTTTTATCACCAACCTTGTGTGTGTTACTGTTTGGGTGTATAGAAAACAGCTCCCGTAGAACTGTCTCAGAGCTGGACTCGAGGCTGGACAGCTGCAAAACTCTGAAACATAAATTGTTGAGGCATTTAGATTTAAAGTGAGTGAGTTTAGCTTTACGCTGCTTTTAGCAATATTCCAGCAATATTATGGCACCCACCGCCCCCCAGATTTATAGTGAGTAAGAATCATAGCAAGATTCACACATGGTGCCAGTGGTGAGTTGAGTTGTGATAGTATATTATGTTAAAAAATATACTCTCGTTTCTCGTAACTACATTTTCAGAACTGTGTCTGAAGGGAGCAAAGATTTTATGTTTTCATTTCATTTTTTACACTTTGAAAGCAGAGATTTCATAATTAAAGACGAAGTGGTTTTAGCTTTTATGGAGATAAACATGAAGTTTTCGAAGAGTAACAAAGATGGAGCTGGCCCACGGAGGATGTTGTGTGTCACAAATGCTGATAGTAAACAATTTTCACTGTGAGGCCAAAACTTATAATTGACCTTTGTATTCCTTCTGGAAATCCCCAGATGTCATGGATCAACTGAAGGTTGATTGTTCTCAAAACAGTCATGGCTACCTTTTCCAAGGGGTTTCTGGTGCTAAGCATGGTGTCTGCCACAGCTTACCTGACTGTATCTTCCGAGATGTGCAGCACCCTCCCCGACTCATCACCATGGAATACTGCCTTGTCCAGCTCAATACCAAAACTGCTCACATTCACTTCTCCATTCTTGGCCTTAGGAAAAGATAATAACTTAGTGAGACACCTTGCAAGTGATTCTTTTGAATTTGATTGGCTAACCATGCTGCCAAAGAAATGTTTTGGGTATATAAATTAAAATACATCACACACGTGAGTGAGTGAGTGAGTTTAGTTTTATGCCGCTTCTTCAGTATTCAAGCAATATCACAGCAGGGGACACTAGAAATGGGCTCTAAACATTGTACACATGTGTCTTCGTTGTGTGACAAGCGAACACCCAACAGCCCCTCACACACATGTGTGTACTATGTTTTATGACTGGTTGATCATACATTGGGTGGGGGCTAAATTGTGCTACTGCTTTGAACAGGGTCATTGAATTTGTACAGTAGTCCTCAAATATTTTCATTGAAGTTGAAATAATCAGTCTTTGAAATTATTGTTGACTTATCATCAGAGTTGACTCAAATTTGCTTTCACAATTACGGAGGTGTAAATATAAAAGCTGGTGCATAAACTGTATTATAAACACTAAACATCCCTAAATGCAATCCTTATTGATATAAGTTCTAACTTACATCAGCCATTGTTAACCATTCTACCACATGCTCATATTGACAGATGAAGAACACTATCAACAGAAACCTATCAAAAATTGACAAACTGACTTGTGCAGCAAAACAATACTCTGACAACTGATGAACATCAGGTGTATAGTTAAGGGAGATAACTCTAATTCCTGAAAGCACCAGTTTTTCTGTCAATAAAAACAATATTCTGGCAGATTATAAACACAAAGTGTAGAATTAAGGGATATAAATCAAATCCTTGGGACTGAGAGAACTAGTTTCTCTGTTAACTTCACAGTACCAGTAGTTATAACAATTTAATGTTTGCAATAGTGGCTTGTCTTTTTCTCAATAGCAGTGTTCATAAGGTCTGGGTTTGATGTTTTAGCTGTGTGAGGTGAGGTGAGGTGAGGTGAGGTGAAATTGGGTTTAACGTCATGCTTGATAATATTTCGTTCATATGACGACGTGCATGGGGCTGCTTGTACTAGCCCAGACTGAAGCTGGTTTTATAGTGCTAGCCCACTGAGATACCATGCTGCAGTGAAGCATGAATACCCCACTCAGACACAGTATACTGACTCCGAGCCGACCAGTCCTTGTTGTACCCATTAATGCCGAGCGGCTGGCAGGGACCAACAAGTACCATATTTTAACGTCTATCGGTATGACGCGGTCGGGGATCGAACCCGCGACCTTCCGCTTTCCGGGCGGACACTCTAACCACTACACCATGGAGGCGGTCTTTAGCTGTGTACCAAGATGGCCGCCAGAGTGTAATACTTGAGGAATATCCACGTACCAGATTGTTTGTTTCCATGGAGTGCACCTGGAACCAGCCACAACACCCATGGGGGATGATGATATAGTGCCATGGAAACCCACCAATCTGGACGTTGTGCTCCGAGCAGCGTGTCTCAAATAATGGCGTCAATTTTTCTGGAAGCAAATTTGGTGATGATGGGTCATGATGTTTGGTATTTCATAACAACAGGAAAATGAGTACGGTATATAACAGTAGATAACCCGAATTTGGAGGACCAAAAAAAAGCAGTCTGTAGAAGAGTGTCAGCTTATATACAGGTTCCACTTTCGTCAAACATTGTTTCTGGTGGTAAGAAAAGGACATCGAATCCCTTCACATGAACAAGCTAGAAAAGACAGTGTCAGTGATGATGTCAAATTTGCAATTAAACATTACTAGACAAGATTATGTACCTTTTCAGTAGTAATTTGGTTTTGCTAGGCATTGTCTTATATACAGGGAGTAAGATCACCGTGTGTATTTGTCTCGTATACAGCGCCGGAAATAGCAATCAGCTGTGCAAATGTGTCCCCACGATCTACCAGTGATTTAGTTCAAACATACCCAATAATATAACGACATGATTTCGGTGATCAGTGATCGGTACAACATCGCATCTGAAAATATAGTAATTCTGACAAATTGAAAGACCATGCAATACTCATGAGTCAGCACACGCATGGAGCTTTCGATACCTTGGAATCTCTACACATGTAGAAAAGGCCTCACTGGACAACTCACCTGTTATTTTGATATTGAAAGGGACTCCCTGTTATTTTGGTATTGAAAGGGACTCCAGACGGGTATTGACCGCACAGTGCATCTGACCCAGGGATCTGCTCTCTCAGGTTGACTTTGTAGCTTCTAAACTACACAAGCTCACATCTTATTCCACATCAGTAAACATTTTGACAAGCTCTGACATATGTTAATGAAGTACTAATCTATAGAAATGAACAATAAGTTTGATAGATTAACAGAAAAAGGTACCGTTGTCTCAACCATTGATGAAGCAGACCTTCACATGACTAAAGCAGCAGGATTCAGATGCATTTAGGAATAATGAAGGATAAGGGACCGTTCATAATTTATGGCTGGGTGTGGGTGTGGGTGTGTGTGTGTGTGATGATGATTTTTATGGAGAAGCATGTGCAATGTGAATGACCACCCCCTAAAATTTATGTACAAAATAAGTGACCCCCTGCATGTCATGTAGAAAATCACAGATCTCCAAGTAGTATGTTATGTTGTCCATGCATGTGATTCAAAGAGCACAGTTATATCACTTAACTTGAACATGAAATAGAAACTAAAAACAACCAAGTGTTAATATCAATTACTGTATTAAAAAGAAAGGCAGGGCACCAAATGAAAAGGGCAGGGCACCAAATAAACAAGAGTCATCAGAAGATGACATATGCCCCGGCCCCCACATATTGAAAGAACAAAACATCTGACAGTTTGTCTAAAATTGTTTCTATGGAAATCATGAAAAGTATAAATGACAAAAATCTGTAAATAGCAAAAGGCACCACTTCAAGATCTGCCTCATATATCTGAAAGATATTGAACTGGGACTTTTTTTGTGCTCCAGAACAGAAGCCCACCCCACCCTTTTGAGATACAGTCCGAATTGTTTCCATAGAAACAGGGAAAAATAACAAGAGTCATCGGAAGATGACATATCCCCCCCGGCCCCCACATCTTTGAAAGAACAAATAATCTGACACTTACTTAAAGTCCAGCTTGATTTTAGACTAAGTGCAAATCGTTTCCATGGAAATCATGAAAAAAATAAATGACAAAAATCTGCAAATAGCAAAAGGCACCACTTCAAGATCTGTCTCACATATCTGTCAAGTTTTGCTGAAAGATATCAAGAAGTTTTCCAGTTGTGCTCCGGAAACGAAACCCACCCCTCCTTTAGGGACTAAATAAAAATGCCAAAAATCTGTAAATAGCAAAAGGCACCACTTAAGCTTCTGTTTGATATATCTACCTAGTTTTGTTGAAATATATTAAGAAGTTTTCCAGTTGTGCTCCGGAACGGTTCTTGAGTTATACCCCGGAATCGAAACCCACCTCTCCCTTTTGGGATTAAATCCGAATCGTTTCCATGAAAATCGGGAAAAATAAATATGCCAAAAGGCACCACTTTGGCATCTGCCTCACATATCTGCCAAATTTTGCTGAAAGATATTAAGAAGTTTTCAAGTTGTGCTCCGGAAACGAAGCCCACCCCACCCTTTTGAGACTAAGTCCGAATTGTTTCCATGGAAACCGAGAAAATAAGAAATCACAAAAATCTAACAAGAGTCATCAGAAGATGACATATCCCCCCGGCCCCAACATATTTGAAAGAACAAATCATCTGACACTGACAGTTACTTAAAGTCCAGCTTGATTTTTTTAGATTAAGTCCGAATCGTTTCCATGGAACCGGGAAAAATAAACATGTCCCAAATCTGCAAATAGCAAAAGGCACCACTTCAACATCTGTGTCATATATCTGCCAAGTTCTGCTGAAAGATATTGAACGGTTTTCAAGTTGTGCTCCAGAAACAAAGCCCACTCCTCCCTTTTGAGGCTAAATGAAATCCGAATCCTTTCCATGGAAACCGAGAAAATAATAAATCACAAAATCTGTAAATAGTAAAAGGCGCCACTTTCGGTTCTGTTTGATATATCTACCAATTTTTGTTGGAAAATATTGAACGGTTTTTGAGTTATGCTCCGGAAACAAAAGTATTAAGGACGGATGGACGAGGCATCAACTATACCGCATTACATGCCGGGGGAATAAAAAGGCAGGGCACTGCACCCTGTTAAAACTGACTAGGGGAAACACTAGTATATCCTGCATTATTATGTCTAAGGGCCCACCTGTCACAGATTGGACTTTCAAAGATACCTTCAGATGCTTACGATGTCCTTACGTCCTTCAAGCAGTAATGTGAGGATGTGTGACATCATCACTCCTGTGGGCTGTGCAGAGGTCTGCTTCCTCACTGGTTGGAACTTCTCAAAGTTTTGTTCTTCCAGTCAATAACAAGTAGTAAATGCATTAACGCAGGACAATAATTTACCTTTTCCAAGATTTGGTTGAAACTATAAAGCCGCACGTGCCCTGACTGATGCATAATGATTAGCATATCCTGGGATAACATGGCGTCGGTGACGTCACTGCCGAATACCTAGAGACAGGCAGTGAAAGAAACATTTTTTGAGTGAGCTTCAGAGTGATATCAAGAAGTAGACATGCAGAAAACATCAGAACATCACCGATATAGTTTCATATGCTTAGTTTAATTCTAATTGATTTGAATGCAGTGGTTCAATACAAAAATAAAATACTTCTGAAGAAAATAAATAACAATTATTTTTGTTGCAGTTTGTCTGCCAAGGGAATTATTTTGAATCTATGTTTTATGAATATATAGTAATGAATAAGGATATATATTCATAAATACCATATACTTAATATCAAAAAATAAAAATAACAAACATATCATGTAATGGCGTCAGTTGAAACATCTAAATGAAATTTGTATGAAAGAGCAATACAATGTACATTGCAATAATGGTGCCTATAGCCTAATGACAAAATAAGATAAGTTATACTACTCACCTAGACAAACAACTAACTAGTTCGAAGTAAAAACACTCTCTTATAAGTATTCCTAAAGTTTCAATTCAAGTTACTATGAATAATGAACTGAATTCACAGTGGGATAGGGACCATTCATAATCTATGACGAGGGGTGAGTGATGATGATTTTAAGGGTGGGAGTGGGGGGTGGGTATATATATACATATATATATTTTTTTAAATTAGGCTTAAAAAATTAAGGAATGGAGGGGGGAAGGGCATTCATTTTGTTAATGACATGGGGGGCACTTACGCTGCACATATAAATTTTAGGAGGGGTCATTCACATTGTACATGTGTCTCCATAAAAATCATCACCCTCTAGCCATAAATTATTAATGGTCCATTATGAATGAGGGAACTAACATACCCTTTTGTCAATTTCTAGCATGCCGACAAACTCTAGAGGGTAAATGTTGAAAACAGCCAGTACCATGACGATGCACACGGAATGCCAGCCTGAAATATGACAGTATGCTGTAAGCCTTTAGCTCTCACTTCCCGGGTTACAATTATTGTAGGGTGGTGGGGTAGCCTCGTGGTAAAAGCATTCACCTGTCATGCCGAAGACCCGGGTTCAATTCCCCACATGTCCACATTGTGTGAAGCCCATTTCTGGTTCACTTTACACTGGTTTGCAATGACAGCATTATGTGCATCCAATTCCTGAGATGAACAAACATTAAAGACAATATAATCGTGATAATTTGTAAATATTCCTGTCTCTGATTCATACTCAGACCCCAATGATTGTCAGCTACTGATATCACAACCACTGAATGTGTAACAAGTGGCAACTTTCCATGTCATACAAATGTAGTTTTAGAAATATTTAATTTCCAATTTAACAGAGGTGGATCCAACATCTGAAAAAGGGGCAGAGCTCATAATACAAAATATCTTCGTAACAATTTGATTTAGCTGAGTGCTTTTCAAATGTGTAGGGCATTACACATATATGACTATTTTTTCTATCTCCAACCTAGAGAAGCTTGTGTATTGGCCAGTACTGGGTGCCAAGTATGGTTGGTTGGTTTGTTATTCAACGCCCCACTCAGCAATATTCCTGCAATATTCCGGTTTGTAATCAAACAGTAAGGATAAAACTGTGAAGCATGGATAGATTTTTCTATGAAATACCAGAAAGATACTCCACCACATCTCTTTCCAAAAGTGTACACAGGGTTAGAAATACCCCTATATATTAGCATGCCATGGCACGGTAAATATTGAAATCGTATGGTTATATATCTTCATGGTGCCCTTAATGGCATGGACCGCCTCCGTGGTGTAGTGGTTAGAGCATCCGCCCGGATAGCGTGTTCAATCCCCGACCGCGTCATACCAAAAGACGTTAAAATATGGTACTTGTTGGTCCCTGTCTGGCGCTCGGCATTAATGGGTACAACAAGGACTGGTCGGCTCGGAGTCAGTATAATGTGTCTGAGTGGGGTATTCATGCTTCACTGCGGCATGGTATCTCAGTGGGCTAGCACTATAAAACCAGCTTCAGTCTTGGCTAGTACAAGTAGCCACACATACACATACACACGAATGCACGTCGTCATATGAGCGAAATATTATCAAGCACGACGTTAAACCCAATTTCACCTCACCTCACCTTAATGGCATGCCTAATTTGTTGGAAGCATAACTTACCATTAGTCATTTAATCCCACAAACAATTATTATTTTCTAAATTGAATAATGCCATACATATTTGAATGGTCATAAACCTATTTCTCTATTTAACAATAAATTTCAAATGATCATCATCGTCGTCATTTATTCTAAAAACATGTGGGCACACTTGATTTTTGAAAGGCACATTTAAAATATTTGTCTGGTGCCCTAAGGCACACTTAGAAAAAAAAGTATTTGTATCCCTGGTAAATCTATCATTATCACTGAGTAGCATATCCTGACATGGCCAAGGCACATAACTCTGCAAAGTCGAATGTTGTATTTACCTGTCTGTGAACAGCTAGAGCTGGAGTGTGAGTTGATCTGATGTAGAATCTCTCCTGTTCAACGATCCAACCGACTTCCCTTCACACAGAAACACTGGCTTGCACTACATGTTAACTCCAGAGCAATTTCAGTAGGAATAATTAGGGTGGAGTTCAGTAATACCAATGACTAGTGTGGAAATGCACCAACTCCTGGTAAGGGCAACAATTAGGAGATGTACCTGGTTTGTTTCCCGTCTATAGGATTTGAACATAGTGAGTGAGTTGGGTTTTATGCCGCTTTTAGCAATATTCCAGCAATATCACGACAGGGAAAACCAGAAATGGGCTTCACATATTGTACCCATGAGGGGAGTTCAACCTGGGTCTTCGGTGTGACGCACTTTACCCCATCGCCCTGATTTGAACATAGATTTGATTCCTGGAATTTTCAATCAAAATCAAACATTATGCTATGATGTATCCAATATAAATTTTGAGAGAGAACTAGAGAGTGAGATAAAGGGAGAGAGTGAGATAAAGGGAGAGAGTGAGACATGGCAAACTGTTTCTAGATCTTTGGTATGGCTACCCCACGTCCTGTACATGATAAGATATGTACATATACGTCAATTCTAAAAACCCTGAAGGTTAAGACTGACACATTCCATAAAAACACACCTGAATTTTTTGTTAGGTGAGAGGTAGACTGCCTCTAGAACTGTGCCTGTGCGTAGATCATGGCGGTGAAGCCAGCGGTTCGAGGTGATAGTTACGATGCTGCCTTTGTGACCACTGTGAGGTAGAGGAATATGTTCCTGAAGAAGTGAAGAGTTTAACCTGTAGTGAGTGAGTGAGTTGGGTTTTACACCGCTTTTAGCAATATTCCAGCAATGTCACAGTGGGAGACACCAAAAATGGGCTTCACACATTGTACCCAGGTGGGGAATCGAACCCGGGTCTTTGGTGTGATGAGCTAACGCTTTAACCACTGGTCTACCCCACCACCCCATTAACTTGTAGTATTTGTCTCAGGATGATCGCCAGTCCTAGCAAGTTTGAATCATACAAACAACACTTTCCACCCACATGTTTATTTCCATAAATGACCAGTAAATAATATATTATTACCCAAATCCCTCATTTCCACAAAAGACATTGTAATTAATATTTATTACCACAGTGTCTTGATATACGTACAAATATGGCACCTTGGCTGCCTTGAAGGGACTCTGCATGCATAAAGTAACATTCTGAGGAAAAACTGATTCAAATCATTCAAGCACTAGTCTGTCTGCCAACACTATTTAAGAACATGGATTGGTGGGCAAATTACTGATGAACCTTACTACACAAAGACAGCGGATAAGTTAAACAATACATACTAATTACAATGTCTAAACCTAGACTGGGCAACAAACCATGCAATGTTGTCCTCAATTTAATTTCATTTAATTTGGAAAGAAGGCTCATTCCAAAAGGCTATCCTGAAATGGTTGAGTGTATTTTGTTAATTTATGGTTTTCATAGTAAAATTTTGAGGAAGTAAACTGTATGAACTAATACACTAGCAAAGTGACAAGTTTGTATCAAAATAAAAACTAAGCAATTCTACTTTTGAGGGTCTCTGGGGTTTCTGTGAGAAAAATCACTGATTTGTTCTTACCAGGAGATATATTCCATGATTGGGTGATATTGATTGTGATAGAATCCTTGGCGGAACTGGGGGCAATGTTGTTTTAAATCAGGCTATCCTGAAATGGTTGAGTGTATTTCACGTTAATTTATGGTTTTCATGACAAGTAAAATTTTGAGGAATATAAAACAATAAAAAACTGCAATTCTAGGTCTGGGGTTGTGTGATCTGATTTGTTTACCAGGAGATATATCTCCATGATTGGGTGATATTGATTGTGATAGAACACTTGATAACTGAATATAGTACCATCTCTGTGAGTGAGTATTAACTAGACCTGGTATTTGCTTAGGGACATTACATCACTTCCCCCTGAATGTTTATTAGAATTGCCTACTTTTTACTGCCCTGAAAAATGCGTTTAGAAATTAGATTATTGTTTTTGATCATTACAACTAAACAATTTGTCTTGATTACAAATAACTGAAACAGAAGCATGTATTAGTAATCCCTTGTAAATAACTACCAGTGTCTATACTTACTGGTGCAATATTACAGATTAAGGCATCTTCTATTTTGGATGAGTTTGGGCAGTCTTGGAGACGGTAAAGCTGCCTTGGAGCCCCACCTTTCCCAATACTGTGGAGAATATACATAGGACATAAAAGCCACTTCAAGTTATTATAAAATATTAATAACTGAGATGCGTCTGAAGCCTTATGCTTGATATTTTGTCAAACTGTTTTGAGGTTAAAGAACATTTGATCTGTTAGATGAATAGGCAACAATGTGTGTCAAAAAGAGGACACAAATAACTGATACGCTGCATTTAGCAATATTCCAGCAATATCATGACAGGCGACACCAGAAATGGGTTTAACACATTGTACCCATGTGGGGAATTGAACCCAGGTCTTCAGCATGATGACCGGACGCTTTAACTACTAGGCTACCTCGGCGCCAAATAAGCAATGTCACACGTTTGGCAGCTCTTTAGGCAACTGAAGCTTTTAGCAAATGGAACTGGAATAAGTGCCATAATTAAACAGTAGGGAAAGAGATTTACCAGTAGCATTGGTGATAACAATGTTTCTTACCCTGCATAGCATGACTTGTAGTTATCAAAGTAGACTCGACTCCTGAAAATAAGCATACTGAGATTAAATCATGAAAATGAACCATAATAAACATGCATTCAAACATAAAGTATGGACACATTCATCTGACATCCAAATGAGAACAGGGAAAATGATTATAATGTAATGAGAAAATTTTAAATTTAAAATTGTCAGAATTGTGGAATAAAACTTACCCTTCACAGGAAATATGAGACTTGGATTGTTTCTCCCATACCTTGCGGTATTCTGTTTTACCCTTTAAACAAGAAAAGAGAAATGTAAACTTTGCCTCATATTGCCCAAGACGTTTTAGAAAAATTCATACATATTCATCATCAAAACCACTCTTAATGGCCTCCTTCAGCATGAATTCCATTCCAACGTTCTGTGCATGTTGACTCAGGACATATGCATGATCATTCATATATTCAGGAGATATGGCTTACCTAGTTACCATGAGAACCAGATACCATGAGACATTTCTAAGATTTTACATGTTTAAATGGCAATATCAGTATCCACTGAATGATGAGTGAAAATACTGAAATATAAAGGGAGAGGTATATGTGAACATGATTGTTTCTTTGTTGTTTAACACTGCTCTCTGCAATATTCCAGCTATATCATATGGCAACGGTCTGTAAATAATCAAGTCTGGACCAGACAATCCAGTGATCAACACAAACATGGGTACCCAAACAGGTATGAAATGTTTTTTTAACTTAGCATACTGTGTACACCACACTCACCTACTACCAACCTATTATGATAAATATCACAACATTATTTTACTCAACATGCCAAATATTATTCCGACACAACATGGCAACAAAACTGAACACTTCTGCACTGATCATATCAGTCGCGATTACAGAGAATATGTTTACCACCTTATTTTGTGAGTATTTTACCAATAATCCTTTCCTCTAAGTCTGTCCTCCAGTCATAAAATGGACCTCAAAGGCGACCATATTGTTTTTCCCTATTCCAGTAATTATCAGTGCGATTACAGAATATGTTTGCCACCTTATTTTGTGAGTATTTTAACAATAATCCTTTCCTCTAATACTCTAAGGGTTGGGATAGAATGGGTCTTCAGTAACCCATTCCTAACATAAAACCAAACTCGCTTGCTTTCAAAGGCGGCAGAAGGTATCAGGCTATTCTTGTTGTCTTACCCCATCGGTTCCACTTTCATCCAGATCTCATCCGAAATGATACTGGATTCCACAATTCACTCTAATACTTAATATCATACAGATTCTGAATAAAGCCACATCTCACTGGGGCTGAATTTCAAAGATGTAGAAGGTATCCTATTCTGTGTCTTAATTTACTAGGATATACCAGAGCTCCAGATAAGCTGCATATTTGCGTATAATACGCTATAGAAAAGTTACAATACGCAAGTAAAATAAATGCCAGCGTATGAAAAAACACTAAATATTTACGTTGAAAAATATGGTGGGTATCAAAAAGTATAGATACCGACTTGAAATTGGAAATACCCACTTAGTTTCAAAAGTATGGGTATCATACCCACATGGCCCAAAGCTTATCTGGAGCTCTGATATATAGATTTAATCCGAATTTCATCTTTACCATAGAGTATGCATCACCAGTGCAGATGCGTATCAGTGATACGTTGAAAATATGGTGGGTATCAAAAAGTATAGATACCAACTTGAAATTGGAAATACCCACTTAGTTTCAAAAGTATGGGTATCATACCCACAAGGCCCAAAGCTTATCTGGAGCTCTGATATAGATTTAATCAGAATTTCATCTTAACCATAGAGTATGCATCACACTTAACCATAGAGTATGCAGATGTGTATCAGTGACAGACACTGGAACGTTATACAAGACAAATACCCTGAGAATTATGGTCCGCAAGATTTTCAGATCTTTCCTGTAGACATTACACCTTCCTCCGAGCTGCCGACGTCGTAGCATGCATACGATGTTGACACAACGCGCGACGTCGTTTGTCCTCTCTGTCATTTTTGTTGGTCAGCTTTGACCAACAGTTTTATCGGTACTACCTTGACATCATCCCCACTGGAAGGCACTATTTTAACGTTTTCTTACATTTCAAATATTCATACAAAGTTCAAGACAAAATAACGTTTGTATCACAACAAATGCAAGCATTGGCAAATTTCAAACCGGAAACATGTTTTTCAAAGGGAGTGCACTCTCAATTCACGCACTGTCCTGCATACCGCATAAAAATATACTTGGGTACAAACACTTCAAGAAGCGAACGTAAAAGGACTTCAAAAGGACTTCAAAAAGGCACAAATAACATAATGATTGTATTTAATGACTAGTGTAATCGTGTAATATGGTGTATTGATGGCGAAATGCGTATAGCTGTTCCAGGAGAGATATTTGTGGTGTGTTTATATTTAACACTATTGCCACACAAGCAGAAAATATTTCAGCATTGGCTTACTTATTTGTACATTTTAGATTATTTTCCCACAAGAAGAGAAGTAGAAATTCCAACAGACAGCTAGTTTATAAATCATAGCGTTCAGACATCATTATCAGATCAAACGTCTTTCAAAGTTTCACCCTTTCAAATGTTCTGGTAGCATATGGCATTCCGGCTGTTTGCTGTTTTTGAGTGTTACGAAACGTCACATGAACATGTGATATGCGGTACTCCTTCCTCAGTGTAACATATTCATACATAACGCGATCTAGGTTACGCGTATTGTATATGACATAAAACGTTCAACCATTGCAGTCACGTGTTTTTCAAATGATTGCCCACAATGAAAGACCTTCAAACTGCGAATTCTCAGTGGGGCAAGCATTCGAGGATTTAATGCGTTTTTACATTATTCAACAGCCGCCTAATGCACATGTATGACTTGATGTAAAGCCAACCCGAGGTCTCTACTTACTGGGTCGTCAAGCTCATATGAACACTGAATAAAAGTTTTATTAAATTTGAAACTGCCTGTGGTAATCATTGCGAAACATGACAACGACCTCTTGGCCAAATAAATCAAGTAATTCGGCTTTTCAACTGTCATTTACGGTTAAATTTCGTCGTACCTCCGTTCTTCAACATTTCCAAAGATTGTTTAACAACAAATTAATTAATACGCATACTTAACTTCTATTTGCAGTTATACCTCACTATAGCGCTACTCCTTTATAACGTCGTTTCCGTTTTTACAAGACTGCCGCGATTTATCCTCTATAGTGTTTTATTACAAATGTCAGGTGACATATTCAGGGAAGATACTGGCTGACTGATTTTAACGTCTTCTTGTTTCCGCGTTTCCAGTACAGCCTTTAGCACCTTCATGGCTGAGTGAGTGAGTTTAAATTTAAAGTCACCTCGGCAATATTTCAGCCATATAGTGACGAGAAGAGTTATGTTAAATATAGTTAATATCTGTCTCAAAGGACATTAAAATAATAGCAAGATATCACAATTTATGTCTAAAACCTAACCATTTCAAATATTAAAATAATCTGTTTAACACAAACATTATATATCACATTTAATACAATTAAGATACGGGCTGTAGATTGCCTGCAACGTAGATCACCATACTTAGGACGATTTATTCCTGGAGTGGCCCTCCCCACAGTGGCCCCTGGGTTTTCACGCCTTGTTAACGACCCTTCCCAGAGTTGTTCCGTAGTGGCGCCTGAATTGGGTTGTTACGTAATACTGACTGAGTTTGGTTTTACGCCGCTTTTAGCAAAACTCCAGCAACATCACGGCGGGGGACACCAGAAATGGGCTTCACACATTGTACCCATGTGGGGATTCGAACCCGGGTCTTCGGCGTGACGAGCCAACGCTTTAACCATTAGGCTACCCCACCGCACCTGTTACGTAATAGACAGAGGGGCCACTCTGGGAATACACCCTTGGACCAATGGGGAGTTACAGTACGTTTGCTACCTGCATGGACCCTAGTTGGAATTATTCCATCCCTTCACCCATTGTACTGGGATTTGGCCATTGCCAGCACCTTCATGAAGCCAGTCTTCACCCTTTTTTTTTTTTGCTTTGTTTTTGTTTGTGTGTGTGTGTGTGTGTGTGTGTGTGGGGTGGGTGAGGTGTGTGTGTGTGTGTTTATGTTTTAGTTTTGTTTTGTTTTGCTTGTTTGTTTGTTGTCAGTCAGCTAAAGTACGGGTTCAATTCCCCACATGGGTACAATGCGTGAAGCCCATTTCTGGTGTCTCCCGCCGCGATATTGCATGAGTATTGCTAAAAGCGGCCTCAAACTAAAACTCAATCACCAATGAAGAACGCATACTGACACTAATATCGACAATAAATGGCCATTTAATAGAGAACAAGTTTCATCCCAATTCACACCGTTACGTTACCAGAAAAATAGCATGAGGTCAGTGTATATTTTCACATTACTTTACTTTCTTCTTCTTCTTCGTCTTCAGGCTATCAAAGTAATACACCCAGGACATAGATGGGCAAAATTAACTAGAAGCGTTTTTAATCTATTTGCAAGATTTAAAGGTGTGAATTTGTCAATGTCGGCGGCCGATTTACAATGTACTAGTAGTTTGAGAAATCTTGACGCAGCTAGTTGTAAGGCTAACAGTACACACGTACCGTCGCCTCACGTGCTGGTTGACAGCAACTTGGTTTGCAAAGGCCAGTAGTATTTACGACTGAAATTGAAAATGTTGAGGTAAATAGTACAATGGCTGTGTCAACAGATTCTATTTCCAGTCCGCCCTGTTTTCGAGCTACATGTATACTCCCAAAAACATCAGGGAAGGTTTTGCTGGAGTTGTGGAGAACATAGAGCGATTCTGGAGTCGGGAACACAATTACCAATATCGTCATTTCCCGGGCACCACGAGAACTGGTATCCTCCTCCTCATACTACTACTGTTTCTAATACGAGTACAGATGCTACTACTACGGCTGCTGCAACTACTACTACTACTACTACTACTACTACTACTACTACTACTACGGCTGCTGCAACTACTACTACTACGGCTGCTGCAGCTACTACTACTACTACTACTACTACTACGGCTGCTGCAACTACTACTACTACTACGGCTGCTGCAACTACTACTACTACTACGGCTGCTGCAACTACTACTACTACGGCTGCTGCAACTACTACTACTACTACTGCTGCTGCTACTACTACTACTACTACTACTACTACTACTACCACTACTACTACTACCACCACTACTACTGTTACTGCTACTACAGTGTATATAGACTACTACTGCTGTTGCTACTGCTGCTGCTACTGCTATGTTGCTACTACTTCTACTACCACTACTACTACTACTACTGCTGTTTGCTACTGTTGTTGCTGCTACTACTACTATGTTGCTACTGCTCCTGCTGCT